GGTGCGCGTGAAGCGTATCACAAGAAAATGAGATGGACGGCATGTGCCGTGAGTGATTTTGTTTTGCTGTATGCACCCAGGTGGCCTAGACCCTCAGTCAGGAAGGCGGAACCGTAGGTAAGGGCGCCGGTATGTACTGCGAGCGACGGGTCGGACTGGCAATGGAATATGGGTTAGGAAGGTACGCCATAACAGCGTTGTATTCATGTAACACACGTTAGCGTCCAAAACACACACACGCACAAGACCAGAGTGCTTGATGCTGACCACACACGCACGAAATGAAAGTGTTGATGCTACATACTCCGGAGTATCAAGTACGAAGAAGAGCTGATGCTATCTATCGTACATACATTTTCTTCATCCTGCCGGCATTCTTGCAGGCCTCACTCGGCTCCGGCCGGGACCGGAGCGAGCGGGTTGGCCCCTCCGTCGTCGGTCTCCGACGTCCGCGGCGGCGCGGGAGTCCTGGTTGGGGTCGGCGGCGGCTGGCACGGTGGCGAGGGGGGTGGCAGGGGGTACGGCGGCCAAGCGAGAGGCAACGGCACTGCAGGCCCCCCGCTGGGGCGGGGCTACCAGGCCAAGTCAACGGCTCAGGTGTGGCGCGGTCTGGCGTGGCGTGGCGTGGTGTTTTTCTGGTGTGATTGGGGGTGGTGATTGGGGGGAAGTTGAACCAGCTCTTCCTTTTTCGACATTAGGATGCGTCGTCATCGCGACGGTACGACGGTCGTTTTTTTTTTTTTTCTGATGCGCTCGCTGAGTTCTGCGGTCGTCAGTGTTGCGGGAAAGTTGGTTAGTTAGCTGTCCTGCTTTTGACTTGGGGTGTGTCGTTGTCATCGCGATGGGCGGTCTTGTTGACCACTTCATCAACTCTCCGGTCGTTGAAGGCGCGACCGGACCGGGTGCTGTGCCGGCTTCCTGTCGTTGTCGTTGGCGGGGAGCGGGTGTGATCTTCGATCGAGTCAAGTAGTCTGCTGGGATGCTCATTGCAGAAGCGGGGAAAAAAAAAAAGTGGAAAGAGAAAAACGCGTTCTTGCTGCTTGTTGGTTGGGTCGGTCCACGTTTTCTCGACGAGGGCGGGGGACCGTGGGCGGTCGTCATTGCTTTGGCCCTGCAATTGCTGCTGTTGGTCAGGTGGTGGATATGCTATTTTTGTTGCTGCCGCCGCCGTGGTGGGGTCTTGTCATGGCTTTCCGGCTTTTACCCTCGCCATCCTTGTTGCTGTTGTTGCCGACGCTGCTGCCGCTGCTGCTGCTGCTGCTGCTGCTGTTGTTGTTGTTGTTGTTGTTGCTGTTGTTGTTGCTGCTGCTGTTGCTGCTGTTGTTTTTTTACCGCCGCCACTGTCACTTTTTGCTTCCTTGCATTCTTCAGCGCCTTCAGAGGTACGAACTGGCGAACAACGTGGCGGCCCACGTGAGGGGACTCGTCGACCCGTACTGCTCCCACGTCAAGCAGGAGGTGAGACTTGTTGCACCATATCTGTCTTGCCTGTTTCATTTTTGAGATGCCATGCCCCCGTGCACGAACGCCGACGTAGGGAGATGATGGCCTTGTTGCTGCTCGAAATACTCCGTTCCACCAAGGCCGTGTCCGAAATTTGTTGCGTGAGATGCCCGCCTGCGCCGGTGCCGCCCGCTCACACCCGTCCGGAATACTCCTATGATGTTCGCACCACACTGCGTTGTTTTGCGCCGCGGTGGTGACTCGATCGAAATGGACGAACGGATCGAACGACGGCCGCGGCGGCGTGTGCGTCGGATCGGACGGATGGCATTGATGACAATGAAGGCGCAGGCGAGACGGCGGCAGAAGAGGGAGGCGCACGAACCCGACCGCAAGAAGGGACGCGTAGGTCAGTCTTAAATCAGCCGGTCATGTTGTTCGCGTTGGCGTGGTCGTTTGAGCGGCAGTGCGCCCGCTGAAGCGGTGAAAAGGGTGTCGGGGGGCTCGTTATGGTAGGGGCCTCCAACACGACGACGATCGTGATGAGGACATTGTTATCCCCATGGCGCTTGTTGAGGTGCGTTGACGATAAGGATGTTGTTGGTCTTGCCGTAGCGTTTTTGCTGGAGCTCTTGGCGATCAATAGGGGATCTCATGATGCGGAGGAATCGTGTGGCGCCGATAGCTTCCTAGGTAAATGTCACAAGTCCAAAGATTGGAGCGACCTTCTTGGTGAAGAAATGATTCTTTGTGACTGGAAGTGTATGATCAGCGCGACAGTACCAGCGGAGTTGGCACCAACGGCGTACGGATTTCGTCATCTGTATCGAGAAGCAGGACTCGATTAGGTCGGGGATTCAGTCAAAATGATAATCATCGTTTCAACGCCCATCACGCCCCTCCCACTCCCCCCGAGAACGAAAAACATAAAAGTCAACGGTCATCACTCCCTCCACGCTCATGCTCTCTTCCCCCGTTTGGCCTTTCCGGCCGTTTTTTTGCACCTTGACTTCGAACTCCCGCCGCATTCTCCGACCAGGCCGTTGATCTGAGGAGCCCTGGAAGGCGATTCGAGATGACCGACTGCAGCGCCATCTGTCACACACACCCCTGTTAACGGTATTTCAAAACACCGTGACCCCCTCTCCTAATTTTAGCGGAGCAAGCGGACCCGAGCGAACAGTGCTCTACCAAAGCATCGTTAGCGATCAATATGGTTATTTACCTTCCCCCGCTAGTGGACGTTCAACTCCGAGGGTGATGATTCAATTGGGCTTTTAGGGTTGCACGACATTGGAGGGCACAAATCTGGCCTGTAGGGAGTGTACGAGTTGTTTTTTTGGGGGGATATGTTTCTTGCTTGGGCTTCTTCAAGTGCTCGGAGGGAAAAGAGGTATGCATTTTACACGGACTTTTTTTTTGGCGGTTGGTGGTTGTTCTGTCCATCTGTGCAAGCCACTGCTGTACGCTGAGGTTATCGTTCGCTTTTAGGGCGATGAATGCAAAGCGAAGGCGGGCGAACGAGAAAACGCTTGGCCTGCTTTCTCGCTGACCAAATTCGTGCCGGGCAGCCTCACGGGGGTGTCGGGTCGAATTTTATTACCTAGACGCGCGGCCATTGATTGACCAACGTAGAGGGTCGTGTCGTGTCGCTAGAAGAGGAGCAAAGACGGCAATCGTGTCGCGTTTTTCCGGTAGGTGGCAGGCAAAGAGCGAAGAGTCCAGTGGTGGAAACCGGAAAACGAGCTTGGGATCGGTTTTTCTTGGGGTAGATTTTGGGAGGGAAGGGCGGCTGAAGATTCTCGGGTGCGGGCATAGGAGGGAGGGCAGCATACCGGTATAGACGTTTTTGGTTGGGAGGGGGGCGGGCAGTGCGGTGCGGTGTAGTGGGG